GCTGCATTGAGATTAATTGGGAGCAATTCAAAAAGCCCAATGACCTCATATTTGTCTCCACTATCAGAAACTTTTAGAAGAGATTTCAATGCTTCAAACAGTGCTTTGATATCCAAGAAACCAAAGTACGCAATTAAGCATCACAGATCACAAAGCAATCTCAAATGTCTCACCTTCTTGACCAAATTATCTGAGCTACGCTGAGCTCGTCACTGTCAATCAGCCTCCGACAGACCATAAACAGGATGTTCTGTACAAAATTTTAAAGTCTTGTACATTTATTATCAGTTTCATCACTGCATTCAAGATCAAGAGACGACAGTCGCAACTATTCAACCGTTTTTACAACACTTTGAATAATGCAACAACAACAAAACTAGTCTTATTCTAAGTCTGACTTGCCATCGACAAAATCATCTGACCAAATTATTGACAGATTTGTCATTTGCCAAATGATCTAAGCTATCCTTTTGCCATGAATTTCTGGGAAACAGAAGGATGATCCTATAAACTTAGCCTGGATCAGAAATGTACGACAACATCCTTGTTGTACGGTTATTTTAGTGTGCTTCAAACAGGTTCCCTTTGCAGAAAGCAGACAAAAAAACAAAACAAAACACTAAAATATGTTTTGCGCTTGCATAAGTGCAGGCTGGCATTATTTTCTTTAAATCTTTATCTCTTAAGATCATCTTCACTTCCTCATCAAAAGATGTTGCTGAAAACCACAACTTCTCTTTCTGCCTCGCTGAGTGCAAGACAAGACGCTTTTTAAAGAGGCCCCCGAATAGCAGTCTGTGACGAACGCAGTCAATGTATTTGTGCTTTAAGTTGTACACGTACAGAGTGTACTGTACATTCAGTGAGATCAGATATAGGTCAGTCTGATGCCCTGTTTGGGCCACAATTGTGTCATATTTTCGCGGGAAGCACATGAGAGATGCGATCTATTAGATGGCTGTCTTGGTTGTGTGGCTGTGGAAGGATGTTTGTATTGTGAATGGGGAAATTCCTGTGGGTGCAGTCGCTGCTGCAATGAGCGATGGAAAAAAAAACATGCAAAAATTTTTTAAAAAGTACATAAACAACACGTGTGTACAAAACACATCTAAAACAATCCTCGCTGCATAAAACAGAATGTAATGCATACGACAAAATATATAATAAATGTTTTTTTTTTAGGACTCTCTTGATTAAAACAAATTTATTTGCAGTCCAGATCAATTCATTTTGTCATGAGGTCATGTTTTTATTTTTATTTTACTTAATTACATATGTATATAATTAATGAACAATTGTAAATGGATAGTTTTTCATACAATGTCTTTTGATATTTTCCCTAAACCAGCTTTTCCTGAAACTACATCTTACGGACATCCACAAACGATCTTGTCGACCACAGAGAAACGAATTGCTCATTGGAGATGGCGCTTGTGCCATAATGGAAATATTTTGCATAAATGCTGACAGGGGTAGATCTGTTCCTTTAATTTTGGTGAATTATATGCATACACCATTTAAAGAGTGGACCTAAATTCTTTAGTACAAGGATGAAAGACGTTTGAGGTGGCTTTATTTGAATCTAAAGGCTCTATTCTATCTAGAGAACTCCCATTTAGGGACACATCTCTTTTATATAAGGTAATAGCACTGGGGATTTGACTTCCTAATGGAGATGTTTAAATGAAGCTTATGGTCTACTTCCCCCCAAATCTGACTAGTTCGAGAAGATAAATTCCCCTGTCAAGGTCGAGATGATCAAACAGATTACAATTATTTTATCCCTCGTCTTTATTAATGAGCACTGTCTTTCACAGTTATGTCGACTAATCAGGATAGATGATATGTCAGCCTCCAGGTTTGTTGTTTTTCACTCATTTAAGGAGTCGTAGGAGTTTCAAAAATTGAAAGATAATAAAACCCAACAGCTTGTCAGGGGAGAAACTGGGCTTTTGGAGGTTTAAAAAGGTTATGTTTTATGTATTGTGTGCATAACACAAGCAAATAGACTGATGTGTTGCAAAAAAAAAAAAAAAAGCTGTCAATTATCACATAAAAAAGAACCTGTAATGATCAAAGCTGATTACAAAAGAGCTAAATATAATTTACAATATAAGCTTTGACTTTTAGACTACAAAATGACCTACAATAGAAGCCTAATAATATTATATAATATTTCCAAAATAATATTCCCAAAAATAAATCCGATTTTAGAATTCAATCACAGCAGTATTTCAAAAAAAAAAAAAAAGAATATATATAACTCCAAAATAGTGATAAACAGCGTTACACCGTGTCCTAACTACCGCGACACACGATAAAGGTATCTTTTCCATGTTAATCAGAGTTTGTCCTAACCAGACGCGGCGGCGGCGGCGACACGCGAAGTTTCTAATTTAGAAACGGTTCCTATTTCTGCGACGTCGCGGCTGACAGATCCGCCCACTAGGGATGGGCAACGATTAATCGCGATTAATCGCATCCGAAATAAAAGTTTGTGTTTACATAATATATGGGTGTGTAGTGTGTATAATTAATTGGTATATATAAATATCCACACATGCATGAATATATTTAAGAAAAATGTGTTAATATTAATATATCAAATATTTATATTTATATATAATATTAATTGTGAATAAATATATATAAAATATACACATGCACAAATTTCTTAAATATATACATGCATGGGTGGGTATTTATATATACAAATTAATTATACACACACCACACAAACATATATTATGTAAACGCAAACTTTTATTGTGGATGCGATTAATCGCGATTAATCGTTGCCCATCCCTACCGCCCACACAGAGATCTCATTGGATGGAAGTTCTGCGTGTCATGAATCATCAAACATGGACGACGAGGAACTGATTGTCGAAGTTCAAAGGCATTAGGTCACTGTGCAGCGATAACGTACCTCGATGACGTATTTTGAAAGCATATAATATAGCGTTCAAAATGAATTCTATGCAAAAATACAACTGTAATTGATAACAAAATTAGTCAATGAGTATATTTTGTTAATGTTTTGATTTTTAATAATGTTATTTCTTGATTTGATTATGTCCTTACCCATTTCCAATGCAAGTGCAGCCCAGCAGTGCACTTTCACAGAGAGACTCTGCCCACACGCTGTTCTGAATGGCTGTGATTACACTCGCTGTCGCGTGTAGTTAGGACACGGTGTTAAACTAAATATTTGTCTTTAAATTAGAAGATGCAAAATGTGACTACTTGTTGGAAAGTTTTAAGTTAGATTATTCTACTGGTATGTTACTGAAAAATGCAGTTAAGCAACTGTTCCTCCACACATCACAGTGACAGTACGACTATGAAGTAAATGTAAAAAAGATAAAATCAAAACATTTTTTGGTTACAGCGTCAAGTGCACATCCCTGACTCGGTCAATCGCTCTGGTGTTCAGCCTCTCTCTATCTCCTCTTCCTTCGTTCTCTCTCCATTTCCTTGCATTTGTCAGAGGAGTAACCCCTGTTGTCTCAGCCGAGTGAATCAGATTGAGCCCCTGGCACAGAATGAAGGCAAAGTCAACAGGAATTAAGTTTCAGTGCAACTGTTTACTCAACTGTGGCCTGCAGTTATTGAAATCGTATCCATGGTTTTGTGTGACGACTGCGGTAATGAATTCAGCATGCCTGTGATTTTCGAACCGACAACATCACGCTAAGTCGGAGAAGCACACGACAGACTGAAGCGATTCAGAGGACAGGGGAAGGCGAAAAACCGAGAGCCAATCACAGATGCTTTAGATCATTGACTGATGGTGATGTACTCTAGTTTCAGATTGATCTCTAGAAGACTGAAGGGAAAATCATATTTTATTATTTGTTCTCCTAAATAATAATTCCAGTTTGTAACCAACGTCTTAATCACAAGACAAATCCTATGTATATGTCCTTTCATATCCTATGTATGAAATAAGACCAAAACAAATCAGTTTTGGGTTGTTCTCTGCTCTCAAACTAGTAATCATGTAGACCTGTTTGGCATTAAAACCAAGGCATCGCTCTCCTCAGTTCAACGACAGCCATGTTACTCCAGCAGACAGACACTTCAGAAGCTCCCCATCCCCACCAAACAACCCTTGACAACATCTCCCATCATGCCGTGGGGTGCAGATAACACACGACTGGCTGATCTTTTCAATGCTGGCCGGCTCAACACGCTGTCGTGTGACGGACAGAAAGAGCTTGTCTGTTTATTTTAGTCTGAGTGAGGATGCTTTGGGCGCTCTAGGTATATAATAAAAACGGCTGCAACACTCCACGCTCGGGTGCTTTGAATGGAAGCTCTCCAAAATTTCAGCCTGAGTGTTAGGGGTGTTTACAAAGCGACAGGTGAAATCTGTGGCACCTGGATGGACTCGGCACATACACAACTGTCTGTAAATTCCATTGCACCTATGCATTTGTCCGTTGATAAATATTTCACCTGAATGCAGATGCCGGGATAAACACATTGGCAACCGAAAACACAATCACAGAAAGAGCACTTAGTGCGTTTAAAAATTCAAACCGCTCTCAATATACATAAATAATCATAATAATGTGTTTATGTACTCTGGTTGGAGGGGGTGCGACGATTAAATATTTACAAGCACTTAAAGAGGAGAGAGAAGGATGCTGTTGACATGTGTTAATAACAGACAGGTGCAAGAATGAAAGAAAGAAAAGGTAGGGTCGTATGTTGGAATGAACAAACAAATTAAGGATGGAAGGAATAAAAGGAGGAAGGGAGGAGCAAAGTAACGAACAAATAATCAACAGATGGAAGGAATGATTTAAAAAATGAAAAAGAGAAAGGAATGAAGGAAGAAGGAACAAACAATCTAATGAACGAACAATGGATTAAAATAATGAAAAGGGAAATTACGAAAAAGACAGAAGGAATGAATAAAGGAAAAGGAAGAAAAATTCAAACAAAGTGTGAATGAATGAACAGATGATTAAAGGAGGGAAAAAAGTAAAGACCTGCTGTTGCTGGAAGTTCACGAGGTCAGATGCGGTGATGTCAGAGGAAGGTGTGGCGCTCTTGGATTGAACTTCTCTGTGTCTCTCCACACAAGGTGCGGCGCCGTTCTGATTGGCTGTTCCGTTTGTCGCCTCTGTCCCCGACTCTTGCATCATGACTTAAAACCCTGCAGCAGAAATGCACAAAAAAAACAAACATTTGAAACCAATCTCATGCAAACGTCAATTTCCTTTTGTCCCACTCAATTTCACTTTCCCCATCTTTCCCTTAAAAGAAGCTAACAATCATATTCTGTTTGTTTTCCAACCTTCTGCTGGGCCTGAAAGAATAAAGAAACAGCAAAAAAGCAAAACAGAATGGGAACCCAAACCTCGGTCACGTCTCAGCAGAGAGGCCCCAAGAAAACACACTCGCTCACAAACAAAACTTGTTCAAGTGAAATGGATATATTTACTCGCATTGCTCCCAGAAGAACCGCAGCCCGATGGCTTTTTAATGGGAAACAGGGTATGGGAGTCGATCGGATTACAAATCTCAAAAATCAAAACTTCTCAGCAAACGTTCGCAATCCAGGGTGTTGAGTTAACGCCACGGTCCTGGGCCCGCACACAAATAAACAAACGTGAAAATATTCCCATGTACTTCCAAGATATTTCCAATAATAAATTACACTTTCATGATGCCTATTCAAACTCACAAAAATACTTTGCTCTTCCAACGCTTTCCATCTAACAGACCAACCCTGGCTGCAATACACCAAAAATACTACTTTTCTCCTGATAGACACTTAGATTTATATCGTTTGCATTCCTCGCGGCCCTCGTTGGCAAGGAGTGCCTTGTAGCCCTGTTTCAGACCACCTTAATGAAGCTGACCAAGTCGGGCAGAAGTAAATTAACTTGGCTTATTAATTATTGATATGAGGCAGAATGAATGCCCTTAAAGCAGTGGGTGCTAATCACATAGGCAGGTGAAAATAGAAAAGAATTCAGATTTATAATGCTGACCCTCTCAGACGGTAATAAGGCGCTTGATAATTGTTCAGCCAGGTTTGCAGGGGAGAGGCGGTTACAGACGCAGGAGAACACATTGGGGATTGACCCATCTGGACCACCGAAGGGCTGCGGCTCTTCTGTTTTATTTTTTGATGTGAACAAGAACAATGGGACGAATTGGGCCCACTGTAAAAAATAATCGTGATTTTAATGGTATAAATGCTACAGCGCAAAACTGTTAATTGGTGAACAGAAAGTTTCCGTACTATATACGGTAAATAACTGTGATATAATTTTACTGTAGAATACCGTTAAATTTACAGTTTTTGAAAGTGAAAAAGAACAGCTTGTGTGATTTACAGTGAAAAACCGTAAATTGACATTCCCACAATTCCCTGTGTGACACTTCACATTTAATGTATTTTTGTTGAAATAACTATGGTTCCTAGGGCAACCACAGCTGCCGTTCTTCTACCGTAAAAAATTATGGATTTATTTTATACTAGACCGAAATATATATATATATATATATATATATATATATATATATATATATATATATGAAGAGTTCAGATGCAAAAGACTCTAAATGCCATTTGAAATTTTCTTCTAAAATTACCATTTTTATCAAGCTTGTATATTTAAGTTCAGTAATTTCACTTAAATGACAATTAATAGGTAATCTTCATTGCCATTTAAGTGAAAACTTAAATATACAAGCTTGATAAAAATGATCATTTTAGAAGAAAATTTCAAATGGCACTTAGAGGCTTTTGCATCTGAACTCTTCATATATATATATATATATATATATATATATATTAGGGCTGTCACTTAAACGCGTTATTAACGGTGTTAACGCAAACCCATTTTAACGGCGTTAATTTTTATCGCGCGAGTAACACCCTTTTTGGCCTAGCAAACTTAGTGGTTTCTTTCACATGCCTTTGCAACAGGACATGGCATGCGCGCTGCGCTATGAAACCCATTCATTTCAATGGCTTGCGTCGCGCGAGGATGTTTTATTGCTTCATCGACCAAATCGCTAGATTGTAAACAAAACAGGCACGCCACACACACTCGTTTGGGCTAGCGAGTCGGCCAAATAGTTGGTTAACATTACGTTTTGAGTGGATGAAGAGCGCGAGACGCCGAAATGGATGCCAATAAGATTCTGAAAGTTTACTTTTAAAAAGTTGCCAAATTCTTCATCCCCTCGTCAATATCAGGATCTCATCAGCATTTCTTTCACCCTTTTATTGATGGACAGCATTGCATTGTGTGAGCGATTATTTGCTCCAAATGAGAATTTTAGTGTGAATTTGAACACGGTATATGCCAATGTTGTTTTCAATAAAAAACATTTGCTAATCCACTTTTCAATGTTAATAAGAGCATTAAAATTAGAAAAAAAAAATAATGGGACAAAAAGCAATCAAGACACATTTAGAATAGATAAAAATTTGTGATTAATTGCGATTAATTGCGAGTTAACTAGGACATTAATGCGATTAAATATTTTAATCGTTTGACAGCACTAATATATATATATATATATAATTTTTTTTAAATTTAAATGTATATACACACATACTGAACTACATTGATGACTAAAATCTCAGGGAGCACTGTCCATTTCATAACCCCTTAAATCACATATTTTAGTTTTCTCTCTAAAACACCCTGAATACACTCTGTAAATAAATTACATGTGTAAACAAACTGTTCTATGCTCAAAATCATCCTTTCAATTAGAGATAAACGGACCAAGTAGCTGGTACTCCCACAAACAAGCTGTGGCTTGTTTAGCAAGCTTCTCCCCCTTTCTGTCTATTTTACGTTTTTACGGTCTCATTTGTTCTTTGTGTTCCATAAAAGAGGGTGATAATGGCTATTATGCATGCACTGTCATTCCGTACTAAATTTTCATAATTATAAAGGAAGGGCGTAAATTTGCGAATGCGTGGCATCTCTAAAAGTAATCATGAGAATGCGCCGGGGGGCTATTTTAATGTATGCGAAACTAGTGACCCACAATAAAGACGTGAAGCTGCAACGAATGCAAAGTAATGCACACGCGCCCAATTCCACGTCTGAAGAGGGCCAGCTAAAATTAACACCCAATTAATTTCGGAATTGACAAACAAATGAAACCCATAAATCTAGTTTCTCATTAAATTTCACCATGGAATAATTCAAAAGCAGCAATATCACGATATAAAAAAAAAGGATGAAAGAAAATGCCTGTTATCCATCACAAATATCAAATAGATGGAGGGGGAAAAAAAATAATCTAGTGGAAGGGCATTAATAATGTCAATGGCTTTATGAATTAAGCTATTGTTTTAGTGTCTCATCATTATGATTCCAGCTTTGATAACAAAAGTGCAATTCCTTGCTTGTGATTTTCTGTCTTGAATTGGGCACAAAAAAGGCATACACATAAAAAACAGACAAACAAGAGTTGACAAGAAACAGATGGGTTTGTTTACAGTGTTTATGGTGGCTTTAAATAAAAAGAAAAAGAAAACAAAGACTTAAGACAAAAACTTCAAAATAATGGAAATTCCCTGAGATTAAGCCCCCGCCATCAGGCACCCACCAAACAAACCTCCATCATCAGATGTCTGCGCCTTTTCCCCACAAAACGCTTGCTTGCTAAACACAACAAGTGTTTGGAACAAACAACAGATAGTACAACAAGGTCAGAATTTGTGCGTGTTGACGTTTTGTTCGGTTCATCTGATATTGCGAGCACACACACACACCAAATCATGTGCGCACCACACCTGGCCTACATAAAAGCATGAGCAGATACAGACAAATCAAGAGCTTTTATCCCTTATTTATTATTTCCCAGGATTTGACTGCGAGTGTGTTTATGGCGAGAGTTTGTTTGTGTGTGCCGTGCACCAGGCCGGAAAGCAGACTCCACCAACGTTAAAAAGATGCTGTCATTCCGGTAAGTTATGAAAGCCCACCTGCGCTTACAAGTCTGTGCTCTCACACCACCCCTGTTTACACAAGCGCTCAACAAAAGCACAACATTCTTACGCTTCAGATAAGTAGTCACAATAAGGTCGACAAAACCCCATGATCACACTTTTGTTTAGGTTCAAAGTTGTTGCTTGCTTGTCTAGACAACACAATCTGTTCGACTGAAAAGGTGTGAGAGCATCTTTAGGTTTATCTTTTCTCAAGGATTCATGATGAGTAATGCAGAAAGTTGTATTTTGGCTATGGGTAGTATGAACAAAATTATGACCTAATATTACAGTACAGCTAAGACATTTTTGAACACTAAACGTTTATATGACAATATAGTTGTGCTTGAAATTCAACCCCAAAATTATTTATATATTACAAAAACATTCAGTATTGTTTGGAACTTGGACACAAACCAAAAGGTAAAATGATATGGTTGTTACAGTGTAATTATATATTTAAGTATTGAGCACTAATTGTCAACAAGTACTTACTATAGGGTTAGTTGCATGTTTATGCATAATTTATTGTTATTACTATGGTAAGTACATGTAACATTTATAACAACCTCACTGTAAAATAAAGTGTTACCAATTATTCATTTGAATATAGAAATTAACTGAAATAGAGAATCTGGTCCATATTGATAAGCTGATAATTATTTAATTTATGGTCAATGAATCAATAAATGGACAATATTAAAATTCTAGACTATTTGGTCAAAACAAACAATAATCAAAACTATATAAACACAGTACTTGACAAAACTTTTTTTGCTCATCAGCCACTGTGGATAGTGGTTTTCTAAAGCTACTAACCACTCAGCATTTTCACTGGCCACATTTTTGACATTGATACCATTGGGAAAAACCATAAAGATATTTTTAATATTTTCTCATAATTTGGCAGCCGATTTATTAGGCTGCTGTCACTTTAAAACCTGACACACAGAGCCATTATACTGATTTATATATATTTGGCTTTATGTGCGCTACTTTGGGAATCTGAGGGAATGAGTAAAACTATGCACAATACGTGCAATCCCATGCTGAAATTTAAACATTGTAAAACCATGAATATTCATCCAGTTTCAGACCAAATGAAACGAGTGTGTAAGGAAGAGCTGGTAATGTGTATCCTGTGAAAGTGTTTCAGATATTTAGGTATCGATAAGTATCGAAAAATC